CCTTATACTTTTTTGGATGCCAGAAGAAGGTCTTCTGTAAATTACAATAATAGGGGTACCGGGAAAGTAAAATAGATTATTATTTGATTAAAAGTAGTCTAAATATGCATGGTAAAGGGTATATTAGTGCTTTTGCACATGCTGTCATTGAAGAACAAAGGACATTGTGGGGTGGTCTACTCATTCCCGAGTCGAACTTTAGCAGATAATTCTGTAACTCTGTGTGATCCATACCGTCATGCAGGACGAATATTAACGGTTGTCTCGCGGCAAAACTAAACCACTACCAGTAGGACCGTTTTGGTAGTCGTCAGTTCCACAGGAACCGCGTGAGTCACCGAAACAGACATCTGCAGAGTAGACCTGATTCTAATTTAACCGGCTTGCCGGGGGATGCGGGTGTTTACACATACGCAGAGAGAAGGGGGGGGAAGACTGCTCAGTCTGCCGCCAAAGAGAACAAATAGGCTTATTCTGTCGGGATGCAACTTCAGGGATTAAAGTGCATCTTAGTTCCATGGTCAGGCCAATGAACACGCGTGAAAGTTAAGAGACACTGAATATAAGCGCAAAGAGTAGAACAGATGTGTGTTTTTGAAGTGGACGGAGGGAGTGAAGATCCGACCTTGCGGGCGGTAAGCATTCCTCCCTTAAGTGTGCAGATTTCGGTAAGCTTTGACTGCATCTATTCGCATAAATATGTGACAGAAAATTAGCCGGTGAGTCTATATATTTCCGTATACAGGCCTCCCTGCATGTGAACACTTGGACATGCGAAAACAACAACAACTGTATGAGCATCATTGCTATTTGTAGACCTTTGCACAAACCATTTGCCGTCAAAATGTATGCATAGTCGATGGGTTGAGGTGCAGCACGCCAGTTCCCATGCCTACATAAACGCAATGAAAATTCGAAATGGCTAGGCTCCATCCAAGATAGAAGTGAACCCATTTCGTACTGTTCTGACACCCTGCTTCGCGGCAAGATATTGTCTAAAAGCAGTAGTCTGTATCTTCGCCAATGAGCCGTATTCATTGATGAAAATTCTTTTAGACACAGGCCGTTATGTAGCCTTGAGTAAAAAATGTAATCTACGCTGTTTACAAGCAGTGCTCGGGATACGCTCTGGAGCCGTATCACACGACGCTATCTAAAATTGTTTTGTTGGCTTGCAACATGTATTCTTATTCAACCAGCCACAGTTTTTACAAGGAGCTTAAAAGTTCTCCACCGGACTTTGATACGCATCGTTCATGCTGTACACGTCATCCTACAATTCACACAACTTATACGTACTTTAGCCCCTAGAGGGCAGGCTGCATCGGTAAGACTTGTGGGTCATTATAGAAAGTCAGTTAGAAAACAAACTCAAATTATGAGAGGGGAAAGAGCGCATTTAAGGACCACTATACTAGGAGAGACGTATACGTCAATAGCCTAATCACCTTCATAGCGGTCTAGCCAGTCTAGAATACAAAGGTATCCTCGGTCATGGAGACGGCGTCTGCTAGCATCAGGTGAGACAATAGCTAGCGGTCGGATGGGAATGGGGTTTGAGAACTAATACGCACCCTCCCCGCTGACTATGCAGGTGGCAGTCTCAATATGCAACTGCATCTGTGTCTCACAAAACAGCAGTCGTAACTATTTAACCGACAAGACGTTTAAGATTCGAGAAGACTACTGTAAGCATCGCGAAGTACTCTGCGCTTGAACATAGCCATAAATGTGGCAATTAGCCATTGTCTGATTAATCATTCAATCTTTTCACACATGTATATCATAAACCGCATGCACATATACATTCACAGTTGCACCATTGACCAGATATGACAAATTATACTTGAAGATTGAGTCAGTTAGGTTGACGCAAGGATTAAATGCATGCTTTGCACATATCTGTTTGCAAGACAGATTTGTAACAAAAGTAACAAGCAAATCGTACTCGCCTGGGCCTAGTTAGATCGGCCAATGCTCTTTGTCCAAAATACTCGGATCTGCTTTCCTGCCTGGTGACGGTTCGAAAGTCGTGACCGACAATGTTCACCGTGTGCTACACAGCGTGGTGAAATTAAACACGGTGACATTCAGATAAACTAGTCTATAATGATAATCGGATGGCACAGCAATTAATGCGCGCCCTCCCCCTCATCCGCCTGGGCCTAAATAACAAGACATAACCAGTAAGACCGGGGGCGGGGGAAAACGCAGGTGGCTGGCATGGCCAGATCCGCTCCTAGGCGTACCACGACAATTGATCAGTATTTTAATCAACTACGACAGTGGGGAATAAAAGGCATGCCAAGCAATCTTTCCGATGTTTACATAAACGCAATGAAAATTCGAAATGTCTAGGTCTCATCCAGGATAGAAGTGAACCCATTTCGCACTGTTCTGCTACCCTTCTTTGCTGCAAGATTTTGTGTAGAAGCGGAAGTCTATATCTCCTCCAATGTGTCGTATTCACTCATGAAAATTCTTATCGACACAGGCCGTTATGTAGCCTTAGGTAAAAAGATGTTCTACGGTGGTTGCAGGTAGTGTATTGCTTAATTTTGAGCTGGCTACACTCAGAGGTTCTATTACACGTGCACTTTCTAACCTTGATTCGTTGGCTTGCAACATGTATTCTTATTGATTTAGCCACAGGTTTTACGAAGATCTTAAATGTTCTCCACCGGAGTTTGATACTCACCGTTCATGCTGTACACGTCATCCTATAATTCACACAACTTATATGTGCTTTAGCCCCTAGAGGGCAGGCTGCATCGGTAAGACTTGTGGGTCATTATAGAAAGTCAGTTAGAAAACAAACTCAAATTATGGTAGGGGAAAGAGATCATTTAATGACCACTATACTAGGAGAGACGTATACGTCAATAGCCTAATCACCTTCATAGCGGTCTAGCCAGTCTAGTATACAAAGGTATCCTCGGTCATGGAAACGGCGTCTACTAGCATCAGGTGAGACAACATTTGGGGGTCGGGATGGAAACGGGGTTTGAGAACTAGTACGCACCCTCCCCGCTGACTATGCAGGTGGCAGTCTCATTTTGCATCTGCTCGCCGTTGTACTGGTCGGGCGGCATTTTGCTAAAACATACGCTATCGCTTCTCCATCCTAAACATCTGATTACCACACTAATTAATTAGCCATGCTGTAACTTTTATTGTTACAGTCGTTGCAAAATATAATTCTTATTTTATTATGTGAGCTATGTCGCGTCAAAATGAAGATAATTTGTGATGTACGTGTTTCCTTTTCTTTATTTTGGCAGCACGCCCCATCATAAAAGTCGCACTTTTGAACAGAAACACTGCGCAGTAATGGAAATGGCTTTTTGCACACTCTAGGCATTCATGGACATCTGTGTCTCACAAAACACCAGCCGTAACTATTTAACCGACAAGAAGTTTGAGATTCGAGAAGATTACTATAAGCATCGCGAGGTACTCTGCGGTTGGACATAGCCGTAAAGGTGGTAATTAGCCATTGATTAATCTCTGTATCTTTTCACACATATACATCATATACCATATACACATATAGGTTCACAGTCGCATCAATGACCAGGTATAACAAATTATACTTGACGCCTGAGTCAGTTAGGTTGACGCAAGGATTAAATCCATGCTTTGCACATATCTGTTTGCAAGGCAGATTTGTAACAAAAGTAACAAGCAACTCGTACTCCCTGGGCTTAGGTAAATCGGAGAGTACTCTTTGTTGAAGAAGGAGACACGATCGCCGTGACAAGAGCTTTATTAGCCTGACGTTTCTGATTCCTACTCGAATCCATCATCAGAGAGAAAAAAGCATAAACGCGTGGTTTTTGCACAAGGGGCTGTGGCATTTATAGGATGCAGTAGCCATGCTACCGCATACCTATGCACATTCACGGCTCCCCCCTTCATCCGGGATCGTCGCACTTGGTGTGATCATCGCTTGATGGCCAACATTCGAGTCGATAATTGCTGCAATTTCATCACGTGCGTGGATGTTGGCGTGATGATTACTCGTTCATCTGACGCACCGACCCCGGTGTTGGGAAAAGTGTTCACCTCTGCCCTCCCCGCATGGCTTGTTACTCCGCCCAGGCGAAGTTTTAGCACGGAGTATGGAGTCGGAAGATCGTTGCACTTGTTGATGGACTGGGGGCCAGTAAATAATGATTCCAGTAGCTCCCGGCTCAGGCGGTTGTCACCTCTTGCGAGAATTTCGGCCTCATCGAATTTGAATGTGTGGCCGGATCTCGTCGAATGAGCCGCAACTTGAGAGCTGGCGTCATTTCTGCGCACCGCTGCCGCGTGTTCGGTCATTCTCGTTCGGAGATGTCTTCCGGTTTCTCCGACGTAGTTGCTTTGTCCGCAACTGCACCAGATCCGATAAACGACTCCAATACTCTTTGTCCAAAATACTCTGATCTGCTTTCCTGCTTGGCGACGGTTTGAAAGTCGTGATTGACATTGTTCACCGTGTGCTACACAGCACGATGAGAGCAAACACCATGAGTTTCTCGTAAACTATGCAATGTGATTGCGCAGCAATTAATGCGCTCCCTCATCCCCCTTCGTCTGGGCCTGCGTGACAAGACATAATCAGTAAGACCGGAAGCGGGGGGGGGGAGGACGCAGGTAGCTGGCACGGCCAGACCCGCACCAAGGCGTACCACCACACGTGATCAGGATTTTCATTAGCTACGACAGTGGGGATTAACAAGGATTCCTATGTGCCCGGTGTGAGCAGGCAATTACCCCCGCCAGCACACCCTCAATGATTACATTTGTCATGTGTGCACATGCCCGATAACACTTGCGCGAATCCCATGTGCTACCCTGTGTTGTCCCTGCACATCTACCGCGTTGACCGTTTTAGGGGAACATCCGGCCTAGTTAGCCGACAGTTATAGCACCGTCGATAACGACCTACTTAAAGACCTCAGTGATGTACGCGTATAGGGACCTACGGTAAGACAGTTCGGCAATCATGACCAACGATGTCCACCATTTGTCCCACAGTAAGGTGGGCCCTGGTAGGAGGAATTCCGTGTGTAATAGCAGTCGTGTGTCCTTCTGCTGCTGCTGCTGCTGCTGCTGCTGCTGATGATGATGATGATGATGATGATGATGATGATGACGACGACGACGACGACGACGATGCTGATGATGATGGTGGTGGTGGTGGTGATGATGATGATGATGATGATGATGATGATGATGATGACGATGCAGATGATGATGATGATGAGGATGACGATGATGACGATGATGATGACGATGCAGATGATGATGATGATGATGATGATGATGATGATGATGATGATGATGATGATGGGCTCAGCAGAACAGGTTTATTTAGATGTCGAAGTTCCGAAGAGCTTGCTCGGCTCTCCATTGTCAAAGCGTAAGATGCACTTAATCCGCCAGAAATCCCCAGTTGCGTGTCACATTGGTCGGCCTCGTGCTGGTCGATTTTTTCTCTCCTCTCGCTGCCTCGGCCTCTCGGGGGATGGTTGACGGACGTTTTGTCTGCGTGTTTTGTGAGTCACCATTCCGTCGGGGGAGGTGATCGAACCAGTGTCGGGTGATCGGTCTGGCGGTTCTTGTTCTTCTTTACCGAGTAAACTTGTCGTCGGGCTGTCTCCGTATGGCCTTGTTAAGTCTGGTGTGCTTGTTTGGTCCTGAGCTCTACGATAGTGATGACGTAGGACTTTGTAAGCTGCAGGAAGGACCAGATGCCTGTTGATGGAGTGGCCATCGGAGAACCTCGCCTCAAGAGTTAGCCGTTGTGTTTTTCTGTTGCCCCGGTCTAAGATGTTAGCTCGCTGGAGATCGAAAGTGTGCCCAGTTTCTCCAACATGTGTTGCTAATTGGGTATTTAGATCTTAACTGCGAGTGGCCGCTTTGTGCTCTTGTAGGCGAGTCTGCAATTTCCGTCCGGTTTCTCCGACAAGGTTGCAGTGGTCCTCATTGCAATTTATTTTGCAGCCAACTGCTGAGATTTCGGTGGGTGACAGTGCGTCCTAAGGATGCATTAGACTACGCCGTAGTGTTGCCTGGGATCGGTGGGTTATGCCTACTCTGGCGGGCTGTGGATAGCTGTCTAGTCATCTCCCACTTTCTGACCCACCATTTTATCTGTGTTGGTAAAAATCTCAGATAAGCGTTGCCTGCGGACCAGGAGTGCGGTGATACGAGTGTTAACAGTTAAAACAGACAATTTTATTTTGTAAATCACCGACAGTGTCTGTCGCAAGTCAGTGCAAGAAGAGCCCTTTCAAAAGCTACTTAAACTCGGATTTTAGAATAAAATAAGTTCTTTTCTTGCTTAACAGGTTAAGCATACAGAGCAGTTGTTAATATGACCGGTTAAAAGGATGGCCTACCAAACTTCCGTCGTGAGAGCAGATAGTCATGTCTACGAAACATCAGTAGCAATAAATGGTTATCCCGAATAATTGTTGCACATGCGATCTTAATGCCAAAAAGTCTACTCAAGTGCGCATATTAATTAGTTTGCTCAGTCTGTAGTCTGTGGACAGAGGCAACGCATTATCGATAGGCAACAGCAAAGGCTAATCAACATTTAAAAAGTTGCGAATGCACCGTAAATGTCCTCCCTGAGAGCCTACTTCGCATCAAGAACCGTAGCTATCATAGGCTGGTATACGGAATCAATTGGAGCAGGGGCAAGCCGATAAATATTTGGTTCTGCCGAAATCCCTAGTTAGGTAGACTTTCATTATATTTGCAAATAGGTCTTTACATAAAAGTCATTCTACAGTAGGAGGGCTGACGCCTGAACTGTCAACCGAAATGCCGAAATGGATTTTCTTGTCAAAAAGATTAATTAAGTAGGGTTGTAGAACTAGTCAGCCTGCAACATAGTTCTATATTATTTCAGTTAACTCAGAATTCCGGCTTTCGGAGGACTTTCTTTCGACCGCACGCCAAAATAAACTCTGTGAAAACTGCTACTTAAGTAGCATACAATTTTCGCGTTGATTTTCGATGCCCTTCAAAATTCAATACTATTATTCATGGAAAAAATGCAAAGAAATATCCATTTTGTATACACATTCGGTAGAAAATCATGTCTTCTTCTAATTTTATACTCGAACTAGGAACATAATTCGGTTCGGTTCGCTCAGAATGTGCTACACAGGCATTAATACCTTGGATCGCCAAGGATTTTGCATTTTTAAGAAATGTCCAATGGCGAGCGACAAGCCGTTTCTGTGACCACTGCCCTAAGAACAAAGGCTGTGGGTGCCAACGTCTTTCCTCACTCCCTCAGCCAGCTAGAATGGTTATCTCATAGCACTAACTTTATTACAAATGGTTTGAACTGAGACATTTAGTGTCTATGATGCACTGTACTTAATATTGTGATCCCACTAAAGTAGATATTTCTAATCGAAAACACGCGTCAAAATGCTGAGTACGGTCTCGTGATACTGGCCAGCTTAATGAGATTTAGTTAAGTCGAAATTATCAGACTCCGACAGAATTAAATATGCCTCACAAACTATGAGCACTCGTCTAAAGATGAAAACGAAAGTACTTTTATTTGGATTGACGCTAATTATAAAATTGCCCGGGCGCTATTGTTTGGTAAACAAGATCGTTTGACTGTCGATAGCGATGATATCCACTACGAACCTGAACAGCACGGTGACGGCAGAACGGTAGTCTGCATGCAAATCAATTTATAATTATAGCGGACTTATGCCGCGCCTTCCGCACTCACCTCCTCGGACCCTTGCAAGACAGAGGCAGGATGATGGGAGAAGTGCTCCGGCGCAGTTGCCAACGAAGTTGTTCGTCCGATGTCGGAAATTTGGTTTTCCCTTTAATAGCATACCGATCCGCAAATCCGTCCGTCTTGCTAGCTAGCGCATTTCTTCAGTTTATTACTTGAAGGAAAATCTGTACTGACTGTTTAATTTTCTTTCGGTGTATACTTATTTTTAGGAGTTGCTACTTCTATAACACAAAGAAGTCATGGAATGTATGAATCCTCTGAATTTTTTGGCAAAATTGCTGACCGGTCACGTGAATATAAAGTATGCAATTATGTGCCACCGAAATAAAACGATCTGATTGGTCAAATCGTACGCAGCATGCAGAACAGAACATTCATGGCTTAGAAAATTCATTGGGGGACGCGTGCTAACCAATATTCAGCTTCACGCGCAGACATTTAATCTAGCATAACATTTAAGTCAATTTACTGTAGTGAACAGCGACTGAATATTCGCCTATCTGAAATTTGACATTCAAATATGAAGACTCTTGCACTAATGTTTCTAACATGCGCATGGACACTTTGCGCAGCTTGCTCGACAAAACGACATGGAGTCGCTGAGGAGGGTAGACGTATTTCATTTAAAATTTCTTGTATACACCTAGTAATAATCGCGCCTTAAGATAAGCACTATAATCGAAATACATATTCCTAAAAAATTCAAATCCACACGACAAGCTAAGAATGATTTATTGATGCGAAACACCAAATAGTATTTACGCAGGCTTCATTGGCAAGCAATGCTTTAGTTCAGCCCAGTAACAGGACAATCCGAGATACGTAGAAACTTTAATCGCTAAGGCAGATTGTATGCCCCTAAGTGACTTCAATTACAACTTACTCTTCGATATTGTCATCGGAGTGCATAGAGTTTTGGAGAAGACTTTCGTCTGACCCACATAAAACCATAAAATCCAGAAATTTCGTCGGCGATGTCAAGTAAGAGAGGTCGCTATTTTCCCTTCGACCAAACCGGCATTTTCTCAAAAAAATATGTCATTAATTTATGCTTTTGCATAAAGCATTCGTCGCAACCTTACATTTTCATCCCTCAGTAAGTGCCCCTCATTTAGCAGTCGAGCGCGTTCGCAACAAACGTTCATGTCGAAAAATACACTAAGCGACGGCTATTAAGATTTTAAATGATTGTAAAGCCGTTAACACAGCACCCATTTTACTTGGAGACCGCTTACTAGTAGAAAATAGACTACAAAACAATTCGCATTTTGTAACGAATTTCACAATGACCGGGTTTTATTTCGCTTGTTTGTACTGAGACTGAACAGCGACCAATCCCCTTATCTCATAAGCGTTCTCGATATTGTATCTTTTTTCTTGGCTCCCCCCGGAGGTAATATAAATGCTAAAAGGACCACCTTAATGCTGAGATTTATGTCAAACAGTAAATTCCTCATGCATGCTATTTCAAAACAATATACTAGATGGTACTCGATCGAACAACACTGTTTTAATACATGCAAGATTTCCAAAAGGTTGCTTACTGTTAGCCTTTTTTGTATATACGCATATAATATTTACTCGGAAACTTCTGGTGATTCGAAAATAAGCTTCACAAGCCAGAAGTTCGATGAAGGTATTGTGACTGTTTGTATAAAGACGACTTCCTTCTTTGCATATTGTCCCAACAATTTGCGCAGAACGTATGACACCATTCATTATTAATGATTATAGCTGTATTTAATCTTTCTTTTTTATAATAGACTGCAATACTGATGAGACAAGTACCAACTCATAGATTTCGTTTGGGATTCATAGTGAAGTAGACGACGGCTTGTATTTTAAGCGATCTCGTTCTACGAACAAAATTGTAAAAATTACGAAAACGTAGAAACATATTCTGCACGAAAATAAGATCTTTTGCTGAGTGTGTGAAACGCGGACACCACAATGCAGCTCATTCATAAATTAAACTTAACGATTATCTTCCTTTGTTTGTAGACCGAGTAACGACTGAAGACAAGCCCAACTTGCTTATTGCTGAGAAGTTTGTATGGCTTCTAAACTCTCGCCTTGAATATCCCATGCCCGTCTTACTACCGTCTTGTGTCCGCTCAGTTTATGGTTACCTGATCAGCTTCATTCTGAGTACTGAGTACCGATGCGATAAGGCATTAAGTATTGTGGAAAATCACTTGGGTATTTACCACTGTCTAGTGGACATAAACGCTTCCGTCGTGACATTTGACAATCTGGCAGAGTCACGTTTGCACCGGAATAGTTCGATTAATATACAAAGTGTTGCATATCCTATCCGTTATCAAAACAAACGTATCCAAGCGAACTTTACGCTAGTGCACACGAAACAAGGACATTTGGAGAAATTGGACTTTGCACCTGAGCAGATTCTTTCTTATAGATCGAATATCTACAACCCAAATTGTGAAGCAAATGAAAGCAGTATGCGAATTTTTGAAGAAAATGAAATTAACGTCCTTTCAACGCTTTGGGGTGTACTGCAAAATCAGTGGCCATATGGGGGATCATCTGCACCGTAAAATGTTGATGGAAATAACATACCTGTCCTTAGTCATTCTCAGCAAAGAATAGAATACTTGTAATCATAGTATCTTTTTCTTCTGA